ATTCGGATTTTTGTAAATTTAGTTGTTTTAAACATCGAGTAAATCATCACTAGAGAGCTTTCGCAACTGCACGTTTAGGCGACCGACTACATTTAGCTATCCGTAACCGTAAAGGGACCAACGTTTATTTTTTTCGTGATTTCGCAGAAAGATCCGGTTAGCCTTTACGGATAGTCAAATTGTATAGTAGGCTGATACATGTTTCCCGTGCTGTAAGCAGAGACGTTAAATGAGGTCATACGCCATTGGACAGGTTAGGTAATTTTTGCTGCACGCGGGTGATGAACGAATAGGCATGATAGACATTAGACCACGGTGGAAGTAAAGAACAAAAGACTCAGACGTGGTGTAACTCTCGTAACCACACTTCTTGCATGAATACGTTATAACCCGCTAATGGACTGTGGTCTAAATAAGATAGATCCCTCGTCAGCGAGGGTTATGTGACATCTCGTGTATGCCACATAACCCTCGCTGACTCGGGGTCTATCTATTACTTACAGGGGTAAACACACTTTAGACCACGGTGTAAGTGAAGAACAAAAGACTCGGACGTGGTGTAACTCGCATAACTGCACGTCTCGCATGAATGCGTTATAACCCGTTCATGGACCGTGGTCTAAATAAGATAGACTTCTCGTCAGCGGGGGTTATGTGACATCCACTCGTGCTACGCACTCGTGTATGCCACATAACCCTCGCCGACTTGGGGTCTATCTGTTACTAAAACTACACACACCTCAGCATGGACCTCCTGCAAATGGCAGTTCAAGGCGATGATGAGGAGTTGATATACGCTCTCCTTCGCGATAGACCTCAGAAACGGCTGTTAACCTATGACCCTGAATGGCCAAGTTTTAATTTGGGTACCCTTAATAACGATCAGTGTTTGCACGACTTTCGCTTTGAAAAGGAAGATGTATATCGCTTGGTAACGTTATTAGGACTTCCTGACATGATAACTGTAAGTAACAGATGCAGGTGCAGCGGACTTGATGCCTTATGTATGGTTTTAAGGAGATTTTCTTACCCAAATCGACAGAGTGATTTGGAAAGATTTTTTGGTCGACCTGCATCGACCTTATCCGTGATCATCAATCACACTGTTGGTCTACTATATGACAGTCATCATCATCGTTTGGATACACTGGATAATCCGTGGTTGGGTCCTGCACAACTTCAAATTATGCTGATAAAATACATGAGAAGGGTGCGCCGCTGCAGAACTGCATAGGTTTTGTGGATGGCACGGTTCGTCCTATAAGCAGGCCAACACGCCATCAACGTGTATGTTACAATGGACACAAGCGCATCCACGCATTGAAATTTCAATCAGTAGTGATACCTCTTTATGGTCCTCTAGAAGGGCGAAGACATGACTGTGCACTGCTTCGTTCGAGTGGATTGATGGAACAAATGGAAGCTAGAGAGCTTACTGATAGGAATGGTCTTCCATACGCAATTTATGGAGATCCGGCTTACCCCATTAGAAGGTATCTGTTGAGTCCCTTCAGAGGAGTAAATTTGAGTGCCGAAGAAGAAAAATTCAATAGGAGAATGTCATCTGTCCGGGAATGCGTCGAGTGGGAGTTCGGACACTTATTGCGAAACTTTGCCTTCCTGGACTTTCGAAAGAATTTAAAAGTTCTGTTGTCTCCTGTAGCTAAGTACTACTTGGTAGGTGGTCTTCTGGTCAACTGCCATACCTGTGTGTATGGCAATCAGACCAGTCGGTACTTTCAACCAGATCCTCCCACCTTGGAGAACTATTTAGCATGAACTGTACACGTGTAAATTGTGCGTATGAAAAATTAAAGAGTAAAATCTAAAATTCATACAGCAAGCAAATTTTATTTAAATGAAATTCCGAAGAAAAAACTACTGTTTTAACAAAGATTCATCCCATGTGTATGTTGTAGGCAGCAAGAGCCTAGTATGTCAATTCAGTTTTTCTTTTTAACCAAAGACATATATATAACCATCTCCATCATGTGTTTGTCTTTTTCAATTTTATTTTCTCGCTCTTTGTTTTCTAATTTAAAGCGTTCTTTCTCGAAGGCCCACTTGTCTTTCAGGTAACTGACGTAATCTGCTGATGAATCAGTTCGGCGCTTCTTAGTTGGCGGCATGTTGTCGCAATTTTAAGCTAAAAAAACAGTGTCACCAATTAATGCAGCGTCAGTTTTGTTACTAATATAATTAATATTAATCAATATTTCTCACACCAAAATTTCAGAGTACAGATTCATTCAAATACACAAAACAGGACGCCGTGTGACTTTCGAAACAAGGCTTCATAAAATTTGCATTAAAAGTCTAGGAGATATGTCTCCTGTCAACTATGGAGAAAATCGAGCTACTTATAGTGTCTTACTAAACGGAACTTACCTGACGGATATCCTGCTTGATACGCGTCAAGTGCAGACGGCTGGTCTATAGACCACTTATAAAGGCATGTGTACTCGTAAAAACTGCTCACAAGATGATGACCTAACAGTCTTATAATACAATCCGTCACGCGTGCGGAAGGCCAGTTCTGACTACCTTGTGGTCAGTGGAAAATGCCTTTTTTACGGGTATAACCTATATTTCAATAGTAACAAAAACATAGACACAAGTAACAGAGACAAAATGTTTCACATATATTGCAAAAATAAAATGTCCAATACGATTTTAGTAGAGAAACGGTCAACTTTGAAAGGCTTGATTTCATGAAATCATGATGATTTGTCAAACCGTTTTTCATTGACGGGTAGCAATCTAGCTGCGGATAATGTTCTCTCTAACCGTATGTGTACACGTCACTAGACGGCAAATTATGATGACCAAAACGTAGTCGTTCGCCTAAACGTGCAGGTGCGAAAGCTCTCTACTGATGTCAGACTTAATACTGTACTGTTTTTAAATACCAAAGTAATGAGTTCACTTTGTATAAAATTGTACAAACCGTTTTTCTAAATTATACTAAATATTTACTATGTTTTAATAGTGCATCGTACATTTAGACTATTTTGTTTATTTGCAATAGCAAGGTAAAACATTACTTGTTGGGACAAGAAAAGTGACTGCTGTGGATATGTTTCAGATTTTGAGACACTCCCTGTGAGGGATATTTCTTAATATCCTAGTTATCATCCTTCCATAATGTTGTACTAATCAGAGTAAATTCTAGAGTATACTGCCGTTTTATTTTATTGCACTTGATCATGACAATGATAGCTGTTTTCTTGCTGTTTCTTATTCTGAAATGAATGTCTTATTTCATAATATATTACCTGCATTCATCTAGTGCCATTTACTTGCAGCAGCCATAGGCTGAGACAAAATAGAACTTGAATGCTCCTTTAATGATGATCATTTTTTCAATTAAAAAAATACATGTACATCTCTATTTCATGACAAAAAAAATATCACGTTATATTGCTTACAAAGATATACTGTCATTGTTTATTCATTATGTTTTGTAGGGGGAGGTAACGTATTTTGCATTTTTTATTTTTACGGCCAAAATTGCTTGTAGTGTACAGTGGCTTTAGTTCAATTTTTAGATTACTGAATCGCCCAATTTTACTAAACAAGAAAGCATGTTGTATATGCTCTTTAATATGTTTCAGCTGTGGCTTGTTATTTGTAGTCACAAAACAAATCTTTATTTTCTCCAGTCGGTCTTGGGTTTTGTGAGTTGTTATATCATTGTATAATTTTGTATAATTAAAGTGTGCAATGTCAGGGTTTATAGAGGAACACTTAGAATAAATTCAGGGAATTTGCAAAACTTTGGAGACTTTCATTCAAGTAGTTTCAAAGACTCTTTGAATGCAAATGAGGGCAATGCATAATCACTTTTTCTGAAGATACCAAAGACAAGTAATAATATTTCATATAAACCCTATAAATTTACACGTTGGTGATGACAAACATAATAATTAAATGATAATCAAAAAGGGCATGTCAGAACAAATTCAAGCAATTCAAGGCCATGAAAGTGAATTCAGGATGCAAAACTAACTCCCAGCACTTTTCAAGGCTTACCACACTTTCTAAATCTTTTGTACAGGCATTGTCGAAATATTGAGATATTTTCCGACTAAATCATGCTCTCTCTTAGGCATGCTTGGACCAGCCAAAAAGATTGCCCAAAGAAATCATATTAAGTAAAGCTGTAGTGTTTCAGACAAGGCAGTCAGACAAGGCAGTCAAATAAGGTATCTGGCACTGACACACCTGACTGCACATTTCTCAGTTCACAAATTGCACATGAGATACTCGTTTTATAAATAAATGATACATCTTTACCTAGACATATTTAAACTAAAAGATTCTATATTAGATGTCAAGACTGTATGTTTGGCTTGAGGAAATATTTTGGCTTAACGCTTCACTGCACATCCCTTTTGGCTTACATAATTTTGGGTTTAATTCCTCATAGCCTCTTTTGGCTTAATCACAATCTTGCCCTCTTTTGAAGACCACAAATGGGAACATGTGCACTATATGTCTGCATACTAGCTATTTATGTAATTTTTTCAGGTCTAAATATCAAGCAATTGTTATTAGCAAAAGTTATTCAATGTTTAACAAAGTGTGTTTTTATTAATTTGTAATTTACAAGAATGATTTGTAGAATTGACACTAATTTAGGCAAATAAAACATTGAAAAGAAATTGCTGTTTTTATCCAAAAATTGCTTAACTGTGTTAAAAGCAGTTTTTACCATTGTCTCATGTAGTTTAAAAGACGAGTGACCAAAAAGCCATTATTTTGAAAAAAATATATTTTTGATCCCCCCCCGACCTCTGACAGAAATATAAATTGTTTGAGAAACAAGTAATGAAAAAAATGCCTGCCTTACCTAATAAATTATGCCAATTCTTTTATAACAAGACCTTTCAATAAATGTGTCCGACAAGGGCCAAATTTCGAACAGCATACGTGTCCTTGTATCTTTTTTATTGAAACTTTTGATTGTATAAACTAAACATACATAATATTTCACGTACCGTCATTTCCGTGTTGTACTTCACCACCATGTCCTCCAGTAATTTCCTGCGCCTCAACTCCACGCTAGCATCCCAGGCACTCTTCATGGCAGGTATGGTGTTTGGATCATTGACAGCTTTCACATAGTACTGCAGCATTGAGGCAAGCTGATCTCCTGGAAGGTGTGATGATGCAGTGACCTTTTAATGTAAATTTTGAAAACAATTGTAGTAACCTTTCATCTTTTATTCCAAAGAATATTAAAATGCACTTCAAGAAAACACCGTACCTGTTATCTTAGAGCCCACAGCCATCCCTTTCTTGCATTCTAGACCAGACAGGATGTGTTCTATAAATGTGTTCATTTTCTCATTGAATTCGGGGTCGATTTTATCAGCGTTTGCTGCAATATTCTTCAAAAATTTTGAATAACATGGGGTAGGGAGAACAAATGCCTCCACCACTTCAAAAGCCGTCAGTATGACTCTGCCTATCTTCTCTTGGTCGGTTTCCTTTGCCCCTGTGTCCTTCCTGAAAACCTGATAGCAAAAACCATGTTAAAATAAATGTGCAGATTTGAAATAGAAAGGATTTAAATAAAATATCACCGAAACATTTTTTAATGTATGGAAATACTTACTGACTGCTTATATTATTATTATTATTATTATTATTATTAATTATTATTATTATTATTATTATTATTATTATTATTATTATTATTACCAAATTTGCAACCCGAGTGTTGGATAATTACAGTCATTGCATCATAGTTGAATAAAACCATTAGTAAGTAAGAAAAAAGGAATATTAAAAGACATATGTAAAACAAATTTAAAGGGATAATAACTCTTAGTATGAGACCTATATTTCACAATAATGAATTGTGAATAACTCATAGAAATATAATATATTCTGTTTTACCCCCAAAAAAGGCAGTTATAGATATTATTCTGACATCTGAGCTTGTCTTTAGACCACGTGACCTCCATTGATGGCTATACTCTGTTAAAATCTCTTAAGAGATTTTAACAAAAAACCAAACTTTTTAGAAAAAAACCAGGGACTAACTTTGAATGTAAAAATGGATTCATTAACCATTGGTAAGTATGGGGAAATTGTTGTTTACTCCAGGAAAATTCATTTTTTGGCCGAAACGAAGAGTTATTATCCCTTTAAAACAAAATAACTAAAATGCAAGGTTAAAAAAGAGAAATAAAAGTCTATCAGTCAATTCTGAAACTTGTATAAGGCACTTGTTAAAAAGTCACTCATTTATCGTTTGATTTTAATTTTAGGTCTCCTGTTCCCTTAATGAATGTTTGACATTTTGTTTTGGTTGTAAAAGATAATGCAGTCTTTGATCCGATTTGTTTGATATACTAATAAACATTTTTGCATGTATTGAGCCGTCTTTTACTCAGGAGTTCAAGTTTATGTTCACAAGCAGCATCATATTCAAGATCAGGATAAATTATCTTAAGAGCTCTTTCTTGAGACTTTTTTTTTACTACGGCAGTCAATTCATTCGTTAACTAAAAGTGCCAGCTAGGGGCAGCATATTCTAAAACTGGTCTTATGACCGTCTGGCAATAGTTAGTTAGTTAATTTTATTCCCATATAAGCAAAACGAATTACATTGCGCGGGCAAAGCTTTTGTTGTATACGGGTTTGACCTTTCTTTTGTTTTTCTTTAATATTTAGTTAAACACATTCTTATACATCTGCATACGTCATTAACAGGGCCATTGAAAACCCTTTCTAAGTTTGTAAAGTCTATTGTAGGGAATTTGTTGCGGCAATCAGCCGTATAAATACAATCACATATTGCGTGTTTCTCCGTTTGTATGTTGCCGCACTCACAGAGTCTTTGTTCGCGTGGCTTTTTCGCCCATCTGCCTGTCTCGATAGCCAGACTGTGTGCAGATAATCTTAATCTAGAGGCTGGGATTCTGTCCTCCTCCCGAACCGCCCCTTCGTACATGGCGTGTACGCTCACATTGGGGTTTATCTCGGTATAAAACACACTTTTACTACTTCGGGAGTTCTTAATAGCTAACTGTCTCTTAGTGATGTCAGAGATACAAATGTCATCAACCTCGTTAAGCACGTTGGTCAAGTAATTGGCGCCCTTCGTCTGGGCATTTTTACAGAGTGTCCACACAGTCATCAGGGGGTCGTCTGGTAGATCTGATCTTTCAGAAAGTACTTTGGACAAAAATGTTTTCTGCGTTTTCTTAACTCTGGCTGACAACGAAGGAACACCGAGCTCTGCTAATACGAGGTCGTTAGGCGTCGATGTCCTAACTCCCAGTAGGATTTTTAATGCTGCCAGGTATATAACATTGGCTGGCATAACGACGCCGCACAGCCATGCCTCACTGCCGTACAAAATGGAGCTCATAAGAGCGGCGTCAAGCACTTTACGTTTTATCCAAAAAGGGAAGTCCTGGTTTTTTTGTATAAATGCGGCAAATTTGAATAAATGTGATTGTTTGTGTAATACCTGTTCTTTTACGGAGGTGGAGACTTTGCCGTCCTGGCTAAACACAGCGCCTAAGTATGTATATAATTCGCAATTTTCCACATTGTAGCCTGGCACATGAATTGTCTCCCGGTCGCTAGCGTCACAGTTGATAACCATAAACTGTGTCTTTGTTTCATTAATTACCATCCCAGACTGCAAACAAAAGTTTTTTAAGATGTTAAATTTGTGCGTGATCCCTTCTCTGGTTGTGGAAAGTAAAATAGTATCGTCCATAAGTAGTAGGGCGTGCAGTCGGCCGAGGTAGCCGTCCGGCTGACACTGATCACACAGGTCGCGCACTAATTGGTCGATGTACATAGTGAATAGAAAACAGCTCGACGGTGATCCTTGGAGTACTCCTATTTTAGTTGAAATCATCGCGGTCCCGAGTACTAGTTTTGTATTCGAGTACATAGCTGCGATGGCGGCGGTCATCGCGTGACCGCATCCCCGGCTGCACAAGGCTTTAATGAGGGAGTCCGTTGGAAGTTTTTCATAAGCTTTAGTAAAGTCCACGTAGATAATGTACAGTTTTTGACGTTTGCACACTGCGTAATCGATCAATAAACGGAGAGTGAGAATATGTTCGGAGCAGCTTCTGCCTTTTTGGGCCCCTGCTTGTTCTCTGTGAGGTTTAAACCATTTTTCGAGCCGTTTACACAATACAAGGTCGTACAACTTGGCAAACGTGTCCATAATCGAGATCCCCCTATAATTTCCGCAGACGTCCCGTGCGCCTTTCTTGAATAAAACTACTAGTCTCGACACAGTCCATGTAGTTGGCACAACTGTGTAAACAAATATTAGGTTTAATATAATGGTGATAAAAATCAACCACTTGGCGGAGAATGCTTTCAGTACCCCGTGGGGGATTCCTGATGGACCACCGCTCTTGTCACTTTTTACGCACCTTATAGCATCCACTATCTCCCCTGGATTTATAGGATCGTCGGTGATTGGGACGTAGGGGCACGCGATCTCGTTGGGAGCCGGTTCCGCTCCGGCTGGGGCTAGTAGATTCTCGAAGTGCACTTTAAAATCTGATTCGCTGGGGGTTATGTTCTCAGGTTCGCTCCGCGACTTAACGGTTCCGTTCCAATTTATTATCTGCCACAAGGCTCTTGAGTCATGAATCATTGCGATGTTCTTCCATGGACTAGAAGTTCTGTCTGTCGCATTATTGGTTTGACTGGTCGATGCTGCGGTTAATGCCTCGCGCATCTTTAGATCTAATTCGTTACAGATTTTGTTCACATCGAAATTTTCTGTATCA